AATAGAAATATTAATATGAAACCTGGAGTTGTTATAAATTTGAAATAAAGGTGTATTTGTGTGTTGGTTTAGTTAATATAAAAAAATAAGTATAAATCAATTGGTTTAAGTTTAAGATCTATTGTGATTGATAGTTTAATATTGGGTGGTAAGAATAAGGTAAAGTCTGGCCAAATTAATAATAATTTGAAAATATTTTTTGATAGAGTAAGAGGGAATAAAAAGATAAGAATTAAATATTTTGGAGTAATTAGAATTATGAAAAAGAGCAGTTGTAAATACTAATAATAGTTTTTTAAAAGATTTGAGAATAATATTAAAAGGAATATCAGTAGCTTGAGTAATTTGAAGGTTATGAATTTGAATAAAGTCTATAAGAAATTTGGGTTTTTGAAAAGCCATTATATGTATCAAAAGATTAAAATTATTTTTCAAAGCTGGTTTATTGGTTGTTGAAAGCAAAATAATTGAACCAGGATAAAATCTTTAAGAAAAAGGTTTAAAAAATTTATTGTTTGAATTGATAATTGAGTAAATAGAAAGAGACTATCTGTTGTTAGAACAGGAAAATATTGAAACTAGTTAAAAAGTTGGTCTTGGTTTACTTTGGAAGGCTTATTATTAGTGAACTAATCAATATTAGACTGATGGTGAGAGAATCTACATTAAGACATTCTAAATTTGAGATTAGTTTAGGTTATATAAGACTTTTTGTTAAATTTCTCAATGAATTTAAAAGATACAACTCTAATATTTTAAAATTATATATATTTTGGTCACAGAAATAAATTCTATTATAAGGTCAGATGAGATTTGCTTAGTAAAATCTTGATATATAGCTAATTTTTGTTGGACAAATATAGACAAAATTTAAAGTCATATAAGACTTTTGTTGATTATCTTGATGAGTTTCAGAGATATAACTTTAAGATTTTAGTATTATATATATTTTGATCATAAAAACAAATCCTATTAAGTGGTCAAGAGAGATTTACTTAGTAAAATCTTGAGATATTGTCAGATTTATTGAATAAATTATAGATAAAATTTGAGAGTTAATTTAGGTCATATGAGACTTTTTGTTAATTATCCTGATGAGTTTAAAAGATATAACTCTAAAATTCTAGTATTATATGTATTTTAGTCTTAGAATAAATGCTATTAAGTAGTCAAGTAAGACTTGCTTAGTAAAATCTTGAGATATGGCCGATTTTGTTAGACAATTAATATATGTAGAGAAAAAAGCTATTTAGAAAATGTGATAGAAAAAAGATGATAAGTGAGGAAATGTGATATAAAGAGTATAATAATAAGTATGATAATAATATTATGTGATAAAGTAGATAGAATAATAGTAGTATATATTTGTTTATTGTAGATTGATTGATAAGTATATAAATAAATATAGAATAAAGTTAATATAAATAACTAACAATTTAAAGTAAAGTTAATTGTAGTAAATTTAAGTAATATAGATAATAAAATTTATGTTAAATATGATGAAAATTTGATATTTTTGATTAAAAATAGATTGGCTTGATATAGGGTAAAGATTTGTAGTAATTTGTAATTGTGTAATACAGTTATATACTATTTAGTAAATAATGTGTTTGTGTTAGATTGGCATACAGTACATGTTTGTACAAGTACTTTATAAGGTAAAATTGGTTTGTATAATAGTCAGACTAGTTAAGGAAGTGATAGATAGTTACACAAAAGGTGTGCATAGAGAAAATTTTGGGGTAAAGAAGAAAATTTTAAGAAAAAAAGTTTTAAGAGAGTAGAAGTTGTTTTGGCTATATTTAAGTCAATATAAAGTTTACAGACTTTATTTAAAACTTGTTTTAATCAGAAAAATAAGCTCTACAACTTTTGTTATAAGTGTAGAGTAAGTTGTAATGACAGTTTATGAGAAATAGTTAAAGTTTAGTTTAGGTAGAAAAGGCTATAATTGTGATTTTAAACTACAAGTTTAAAAGATATAGATTTAAAACTTTTAAAGTATATATAAAATTGTAAGATGAACAAGTTTATTTAAGATATCAGAGTAAGTTTTCTTAGTAAAATTTTGTGTTATTTAAGTTTTAGTATAGATAAATTTTAAGCTTAATTTTTGTGTAAGAGATTTACAGAAAGAGTTGATTATTTATTTATATTTATATACATTTTATATAACTAGCTTTTTATATATTTATATTATCTAATACTTTACTTATTAGCTATATTTTATAGTTTAGTAATATATTTATACAATTTAAATACATATTTAGATTTTTATAAATATTACAAATTTAGATAAATTATAGCTTACCTAGTCAATTTACATCATTCTAAATAAATCATAGCTACTTTGGTAAATTTAAGTTACAAATAAAGTAATTTGAATTCTAGTTTTTTTTTAATATTAAGATGACCACTCAAAGGTCTAGTATAGTTTTTTAAACTTTGAATCAAATACTAATACAGTTACAAGAACTGTACTTGATATTGTTATATTAATGAGAGTATAATTGCTATATATATAATATTAATCATTGTCTATTTAAGGACTCTGTTATATCTATTTTTATCTATAGTTACTTGCTAATTGCTATATCTAAAATCTGTCTATAGATTCTCTATTTAAACTCTCTGATCAATTTTATACTATATTAGAGTAACTAGAAATTGAATGTTTATTTCAAAATTTTAGTTGATATATAATTATTATAATATTATAGACTAAGTTAATAGTATGTATAATTGAGATTTACTCAGGTGTATTACCCTTTACTGTGGTTTTTCTAATTAGTACAGTAGTAAATCAAAATAAAGATCTTACTACTATTGATATTTTAGTAAAACTGATAAAATAAAAGAAAATTTACATATAGAGGCCCAAAAAGTAAAATAATTACAAATAAGGGTCCAAATTAAAAATAATTACATAAGGCCTGATATTTAAAAAATATTACATATAAGGGCTCAAGAAGTGTACGTATGTACAAACATACGTATGAAAGCCTGGGCTACATAGTAATCAGCTGTCTCATTGTTATACCAAAGGTAGATGCCACTTTGACCTTTAGGGGCTAGACCTGTGACTCAATTCTGTGGCTTGATTACAATTAATTAAATATGTATATTTGTTGCATAAGAAATGTAACTATTAATAAGTTTAGCATAAAAAATATAATTATCGATTGTAAATTAGTAATAGCAGAGACAGTGCCTGATCTAAAGTAAATCACTCTTGCTTGTAACAATCACAAATTAAATTATTTATATTAAATTCAATTGTATAGATATAATCCCTTACTAGTTTTATATATGTAATATAAATAGTCTCTGCTGTATAAATTAGTACGTAATTATAAATGAGAAAAAAATAGTTTTTGATCATTTTTTCTAATAAATTTCATTCGCTTCGTCTAATATTACCTATTTTATAACAAACATGCTCTATAATAATAATATCAAATACAACACTACAAATCAGTATAATATTTCTTTTGAAATGTTCGTTTAGCTCTAGAGAACTAATCAGTTAAAACCTCTTCGTCTTATAAGTTCAGGACTAATAAATACAACAAACTACTTGTTGTTTGTCCCACATATAAAATGAATAAAGCTAGCACTTGTCTCTTTACGGTCTTTGCCAACAAATGTAAAGATGGTTATATTTATATAACCTTTTTGGAAATATTCAAAGCATGTGGATCATATCTTGTAAAATTCACTGCACCATTGGTTAAGGACATATCAGCACTTATACCTCATGATATTGTGAATTATATTCACTATGAAGTGGGTGCTGAGCAAGCTTGGAGAAGTTGTGCCATTAATAAAAAATGTGGTACAGAAGAAATAAAAAAGAGTTACTAATAAATATGATTAAACAAGCAGGATGACCACGAAAAGCTTGTTTATGTAGCCATGAAGAAACAGCACCAGAAGACCAACTTACCTGTGGTAAATGTGGTGAAAGGGAACATAATAAACGTACTTATCTCTAGTTTAATAAACATGTATAAATACTTAATTCTTATATTCAATATAAAGTTTAAAATTTTTTAATAAATACTGTCATGAAAATAATTATAACCAATGCTTTATTTATCTTTTATTCAATAAATTGATAACCTATAACAAATACATTCATTAATTTGATTATCTTTAGTTCGCTTATGCAAGTGGACATTATACTTTGTAGCGCAGTAATCGTGTAGTCATATTTTTTTAACTATCGATGTTTTGGACCCTTATATATAATATTTTTTAAATATCAGGCCCTTATATATAATTATTTTCAATTGGGCCCTTATTTGTAATTATTTTCACTTTTTGGGCCCTATATGTAAATTTCCCTAAAATAACCATCTTTTATATAAAATATAGAACAAAAAACCATAGTCTAATTAATTAACTATATATTAAAATCACTGGATTTCGATGACCATTACATACTTGTGTAATCATTTGCATACGGTTTTTTTACTATACCAGATATATCTGTCATTTAACAATGGACTCTAATACCTAGCCATATTAAAAAATTTTTTTTTGTATAAATTTATCACGAAAATAGTATAAATTTGCAGAAATGATATTTTCATTATCCTAAGCGATTATATGATTCATGAATTAAACTCAACAAATTAACTTGGCTCAGAAATTTAATGCTAATTTATAAGAAAATATATTTCATATTATTATTTAGTATTTTATTGATATATGTATAGATGATATAATCGGTTTTGATTCGCAAATTAAAAATTATATTATATGATAAATTCATTATTTGTTCCAAGTTCGATCCTTATATATGTTGTAAGTGGAAATGGAATTTTTATATAAACCAGCATTTTGGAGTTGATTTTATCATATATACACCCTTACCCTAATCTTAATTTAACTTGGAAATTCCGAATCTATTTAATTACATTTCTACTTACAACATATATAAGAAGGATTTAGAATATAATCCCTTAATACAAAATAAAAGTTTATTTTCTGTGACAATGTTGTTAAAATCTGCATTAGAAGGTCATGTAAGTATATAAAACATGTAAGCTATAAATTTATTATTTTATTTTTGATGAAGGTATAATTTCAGAAAATGTTCTAATATATTAGTTACAATGCATAATTGCAATTGGAAAAACTGGCAACGAAAAAGCTTCACAGGAACTATTTTTAGTGTACAAAGTGTAAAAGTCTGAAATTTAGCACATTCAGTAACAACTGATATTATAGTTTATAATCTTGGAAATGAAATTTTTACGTCAATATCCAGGATTCGACGATTCTAACGAAAATAGTTATGATGAAACTGCACGTTTAATTTTTCGTGCTCTTTTAGATAAAGTTATTAATATAAGAAATTTTGAGTAGTTTACTTTAATAAAAAACAGTATATTAAAGAAGTACCCAGGTTTTAAAAAATATAACATCTATGATTGGCTGTATTTGTTTCTATTGATAGTCATGCAGTGTGTTATCATTTTAGGTTGCTCACTTCTAATTTTTCAAAATTTAGGATCTGGTGTAACATGATAATCAAAATGAATTTGTTTAAGTAAAAAAAGTTGCGCGTAAAATTAAAGCTAAGAAAACCACATTATAGTTAGGCTTAAGAGGTAAAATTTCACAAAGAGCATTTTAATTTGGCTGCAGGTAATTTTTTAATTAAAATTTAGAGCTATTCTTGGTTGTTTTTTTTTTGTTGCAAAAAAAGTAGTTTCGTTTCGATTTTCACATTATACCTGATTCCGAAATTCAGTTGGTCAATATTACAGGAGCTTTGTTAGGATCATCCTAATCAAATTCATATAACCTAGAATATTATTTAAAGAGAATATAATTTACTGTGCATTATTGCATTTGTTTTTTTTCACTGTTTAACTTGGATCTACCTCTTTCATGTATA